CAGGCTTCTTCTCCATCTACCGTTACCCATGAGCAGAACCCAGGGGATAGCGGAAAGTTACGTCAGTTCAAGACGGTTAGGACAGGCTGGGATACTGGAATACATGGACGGACGTGGGAACATGACGTAAGCACGAGAACACCAGGTAAAACCGCCAGCCAGCGGGGCCAACGGGCAGATTCACCAGGCAGGTTCACCAAGCAGTGCACTGACTTCGGCTTGTGGCTGTCTGTCACTGCAGTGGTAGGACCACCAAGTGGAGTCGCCAGGTGGAGTCGCTTGCAGAGTCACCAGACAGCCACCAGACGGAAGCAGAGCCACCAGACTCCACAACAGAAAATAACTTCATCTCCGGTTTGGGTCTCACAACACATGCATCAAATGGGCTTCAGGGGCATTTGGGTTATGGCTCATTTGAGCCACGCGAAGATCAGCGGTGATTTACTGGATATGCGGGGCAAAGCATAAAGCCAAGTGGGCCACGAGCCACCAGGGTGTGATCAAAGCTCACAGAATCAAGTCAAAAGTTGATACGAATTATGACTGCCAGTTTCAGGTGAAACAAGCAAAAGAGGCACCAAGGCCTAAAATAGCCTGTAATTTCCTTTTACCTCACGTAATTTTGGCGCTTGCCTTACATGTAAGTATTTTCCCTCGCCAAAGTCTGCAAGAGCAACACTGACTGCCAGTAGGCACTGCATCAAACAGTGCATCAAACTTTTGAAAACCTTCAGAGCAGGTGGACCAGATAAATAAGCCTTGCCAACATGGGGAAAACATCATCTGATCGGTTTCAGTCCCTCTGCTCTTGAGGGAAAATGGAAGACGAGCATCTCACTTCATTGTAGTCGTTGGACTGTTTACCCTCCGGTGCAACGCAGTAAATTATGACAGGCACCGATGCTTATTCCAAGAGGCAACTGTAGGAACCCTCTCATCAAAGCTCTCACAAAACGCTTAACAAGCACAACAGCTTAACGAGCTTTGTTAACTATCCTTTGTTGGCTAATTCGACCTGCATACTTGTCTTGCTTGTAAAGTAGTACACAACCCATATCTTAGAAGTAAGGTTTGAGTAACGTCATCGAAATGCAACGCAATTACGAGCCGTCTTGGCTGCTCCTGCTCGCTTGTCTTGTACGCCCGTGAGCAGCACATTGGCTTGTGTAGTACACAATGTCCATCTGCGCGAAACAGTCAGCCCTAGGTTCTTGCCAGGGTGGGACTTCGTTTTGCAAATGAGTTTTCTTATCCTTTGATCTTATTGTTTGCTTGGCGTAATTTGGCGCGGAAATTGGCACGTTTCGCGAAATGCAGCGTCATCAGATGTTTTGCCATCCGGCACCGACATTCTGCATTTTTATCAGAAACTGATAGATTAGGCCACGCCAGTCCGTTTGAGAGTACTTTCGATCCAGTCAGTGTGTTGTTTCTGATATACCACCGGATCGAAAGTCTCCTCACAGATCCAGACTCCAGCGACGTGGCTAGGAAAAAAGTTACGTAATTTAGTGCTAGCGTGATGCGAAAAGTTAAAACCTTTACGGTCACGTCCGCCACGCGTTTTCAAGGTTTTGGCGCATTATACTAGCTGTCGCAGAGGATCCCATGGCAGCGCTTGCAGCGTAGAAGCACTGAGGTGCGATGCAACCAGCTGCTGACCCCCAGGACGACGAGCCAGTAAATCACATTTACTTCCTAAGCCGGCCGATCTGGGTGCAGCCAGTCACGCCCACAGATCTCGTGCTCGGAAACAGATCTTGAGTCCTTGATCGGTTGGGTGCCCTTGCAAAAGAGGTTCGTCGTCCTCTCGGTCAAACGTGCGACGGAAACGGCGACGCCCGTGGCGTCTCAGCTTCGCTCACGTTTGAATAAAACCTGACTACCCTCAACTCCTCCCCCCCCCCCCCCCCGGACACCACTGGCCCGGGCCGTCCGAACGCTCCGGACTGTCGGGCCGGAGCCCCTGCCAGGAGCGCTGTGCCGCGTGCGGCCATGAGTCCGGCGGCGGAGCGCCGGGCCACGTGCCAGGGTCCATCGGACAGCGGCCGCCGAGCCGCGACGACACCCTCTGCGCCGGCCCGGAGCCGCCGTCACCGGGCACCGGACATGGGCGCGTGCTGCACTTCAAACGCTCATTGATAGGCAGGGGAACGCGTGTTTACGCACGTCTCTCATATCACCTGGCATATCTCATGTCTCACGCCACTCATATCACCTGGCTGTTTTGGAAGATTGTCAGTCTGTGTTAACTCTCGCTCCGCCGGGCGCTGCGCCAACTCACAACTCACATCTGGCGCCGGCTAAGTCCCCGCCACCCTGCCTCTGGCATCAGGACTAAACAGAACTGGATGGATTGAAACACCGGTGAGAAGCCTTGGTGACATTTGATAACATCTCCCAGCACTGTGTTGCCATTTGAACTCGAGGTGAATGTTACATTAGGGCAATCGCAGTTTAGTTGCGTATAGCGCTACGAACCTCACTGCACTACATGACACAGATTTGCACAATCCGTTTACTGACCTATCCTAAGCTTCTGATGACAAGTGATACGCACCGGTATGAGTGGCGTTTGTAGACTATAAAAGAAGCAGGGTCAGAATCAGAACCAGAAAACGGTCACGCAAGAGCGATGCTTTTAAAAAGTAGGGGAGAGGGATAAGCATGCAACGTAGATTAGCAGCATGTGATGAACGTTTGTAACAAGTCTACGTTAAAGTGAAGTGGAGTGATACTGTCGTGACACAAACTGGATCCAGCGTATCGCCGTTTTCATACTGAGGTGTACGCTATCAACAGGCATCAGCGTTGTCGCCGGTATAAGGTCGGTGACGTTCTAACCCCAGTAACCGTTGGATAGTTTGAGCCATTTCTGTGTTTGGCCATATACAATGGCGCCAAATATGAGCCGCATTGACATTTTAGATGTTGTTATGTCCATCTAACAGCCATAACTGAGCGCCATGAGCTCTACGCCTTTTAAAATACCTTAAATTCCCTCATAGAAATACTTCGTGAATGTTTGTAAAACCTTGGGCTAGTTAATTTGTCTAAACGTCTCAATGCTTGATCAAAACCGAAACAAAATTGTCTAAAACGGCTGCAAGACACCTCATTTACAGGCATCTGGCCCCACCCTTTTCCAATGATTTTGATGAGGTACCGCTCATGCAACTCAGGATGGACTTAGGTCAGCGATCTATGTTATATGCGGTTCCTGGGTGTTCCATGGTTGGACGGAAATGCCTACAAAGGTAAAAAATAACCGAAGTGAATCGCAATCTATCAAATTCATCGAGCATGCTAACGTGAATGGCGTTTACGTCCAACACGACCAACCGTCCAACAAGACCTAGGCCTTACTTGTTCCCGATTATGGAAAACCGGTGTGGCGTGACATGCTGAAAATTACGACATTAAGACAAGACAAGTGGACACCTGCCATCCAGTTATTGCACTGGGTAGCTAATCGCCTCCAAAAAGTATTATTTATTCCTCGGCTTGGTTATCAGTCATTGGTTATTTGCGATTTGCTTTATTTATTTGCAACTGAAAAGAGCTGCCTCCTTAGCTCATTAACTGAGAGCGCGCATGGATTAATGCATTGCCGGCAGATGTGTATACAATTCCTCGAGGATGGATAATTTGGTTACCATGGTGATACTGACGCGTCTACCAATATTTCCGTCACCATAGGACATGCCTTTCCATGGGGAACTCAGGAAACCATGTCTGTCTGCAACGATTACAGCCAGACTCCGTCTAAAACAAGTTCAGCAATCTTTTCACTTTTTGCGAATCAGCCAGACATTAGCTTTTTTTCCTTTTTGCACCTTGGCACGGACATCTTTTTTGGGTTGCGTAGCAACGTTGCCTTGGTTGGTTCCCGCCTAAGGTATCACACCCCTCCGGCAAGGCACGGAGGCGTTCACCACGGCAATGACGTCATGAAGCCGCGGGGCCCACACATACGGCTCAAAGCTGTGTGGTTAATCACGCAGACCACAATCGTTCTATCATTTGGACCTGCGGAGCGGCGAGGTCAGTGTCCGTTCAATAAGCAGTGCTTTGAACAGCAGCGACCAATACGCTAGTCGAGTGAGCATCGGGGTTCAAAGCAAAAGTAAATAATGTAACTATACAACTGCCGTGCCTTCTCTGCTTTAAACAGCCCGTAAGTATGAACGCCCGTATGTGCCATCTCACAAATACTCAAGCACCTCAAGGATGACACATCAGCTTAGCCTATCGCCCCCCCCCCCCCCCGCGCGCCCTGACCCTTCCCTGCAGCCATGTATCGGCTTCCTCCCGCAACCGCGCCTCGGTTCCTGGCTGTCGCGTCAGTCCTCGGCCCCTAGCTGTCATGCCGGCGTCCTGTCCGGCTGCCGTCCCGGAATGCCGGGAGTCCGCCGCGCGCGGCACGCTGCCGTCTCGCCGCTGCCAAGAGCGGCCGCCCGGGCCCAGACCGCGGCCCGAGCGCGCACCGCACGGTTTGGGCGGCGTCGAGGGGAGCGTGGCGCACGGACGGGACTCAGGAAGTGGCGCACGGACGGGACTCCGAGCTCAGCGAGTGGCGCGCAGTGCTGAGCGATGAATGAAGGTCCTGGTGATACGTTGGCCGTGCTGGATGAGTACCTGCGGTCCACGCTCGGCAACAGCCCAAACGTGCGCATCGCGGTGGACGAGAGCGTGGGCCGCCACCTGGTGGCCACCCGTGACCTGGCCGCGGGCGAGGTGATCGCGCGCGAGACCCAGGCCGTGGCGGCGCCGCAGAGCCGCCTTCTGTGCGTGTGCTGCAGTCAGCGGTCGGCAGCCGCTGCCAGCTGCGCCTCCTGTGGCTGGCCGGTTTGTGACGGCTGCGCTGACCAGCCGCCGGAGGCGCGTTCGTTGCATGCCGAGTGCGCCGTGCTGGCGCCGCTGCGTGCCAGCAGCCCGTGGCGCAGCTGGCGCGCGCCCGGCGCCGTGCTGGGCGTGCTGCGCTGCCTGCTGCTGCGCCAGCGTCAGTCGCCGCTTTGGCCGGTAGTGGACTGCCTGCAGGACAACGTGGCCAGCCTGGGCCGCACGGCCTGGCTGGGCAGCTGTTTGCAGAACGTGGTGGAGCCGTTGCAGACCGTCTGCGCGCAGGACGTGGCCGTGCGCACGCTGGTCCACATCGCCGGCGTGCTCGACACCAACTGCTTCGCCGTCTCGGCAGAGGACGGGCTGAGCGGGCGCGCGCTCTACCCGCTCCTCTGCCTGATGGCGCACGACTGCAGCCCTAACACGAACCGCTTCTACGACGCCGGCGTGATGACGCTGGTGGCAACGCAGCCGGTGCCGGCGGGCGCACGCGTCACCACCTCCTACACCTCGCTGCTGTGGGGCGGTGAGGCACGCCGCGCCCACTTGGCTGCCACCAAGTTCTTCCTCTGCACCTGCCGCCGCTGCCAGGACCCGAGCGAGTTCGGCACGGACGTGACGGCACTGGCTTGCCGTGGTGGCGAGGGCGCGACCGGGGGCTCGTGCGGCGGCCGCCGTGTCTGCCGCCGCCACGGTGAGGACCTCTGCTGGCGATGCACCCGCTGCGAGAAGAGCATGACGGCCGCCGAGGTGCACACGCTGCACCAGGTGTTGGCGCTGACGCTGGGCAGGACGCTGGCGCTGCGGGACGCGGCCAAAGCCGAGGCCTGGCTGGAGGCGCACCAGGGCGTGCTCTCAGGAGAATCACTACTTCCTGTTGGAGGTGCGGCTGGCGCTGGTTGACCTGTATGCCGCCGACAAGGAAGGTGAGGCGGCGGCGGCGCGACGGGAAGACGGGCACGTGACAGGACTTTCGTTTTCGGTGCATCTGTTGTCGTGGTACGTCATGGTGTGCTGACCTGACACGGCCGGGAGTCATACCTTGGATGAGGATTTAACACGAACATCTGATGGGCTTATTGCTGACTAGCTGTCACTATCCAGTGAAAAAAATAATTGACTTTTAGTGGTTTTTGCGTGAGAGTGAAGTTCTTCAACATTTGTGATAGCGATGTTCTACCGTCACAAGAGTTCTTGAAAGCGACTATGCCTTTTCCGTGACACTTTATTCACATGTGTATATGGGCGCAGACGTTGTTGATATATAATTCCGCGCACTCAGCACAATGCAATATTGCAGTCCGTTAGGCTTTTCTCAAAATACATTTACGCTTACCTAGAATCTGGGATGGCCGAATCTATTAAGATGCATTAAAAGCTTCATGCAACGGCTCAATGCCATTTGCTGTATTTTTCTGCAGGAGTTGTGTTCAATTTCATCTGGTTGCCAGCACGTTCCCCGGCTGGAGCGCTGCCCGACTAAGACCACGTTGAGCAGGCGGCAATAGTCCTGAGGTGCTGTTTACGAGGCCAATATCGTGTCCAGTAAACGCCTGGTGGACAACCACATTGATTTATACAGCACTGGTCGGTCTGCCGCATCGACCATCCACCCAGGGACGGGACTTTTATATCTGTGCAGGCGTCAGTGTTTGCAGGTCCCTATGACTACGAACCCTCACGCGACTGGGGGTGCACGATCATTAATTACCAGGCCGCAGCGTATTTTGGCCCGGCGGAAGGTACTTCTTGGAGAGCGATAGCGAATCCGGTCCTATTTATGTGGCCACTAAACTGTGGTTCCGCAGCTGTATGGTGCAGTGTGCAGGTCGTCAGAGGTGGCAGTATTTCTACATGTGTCTGGGTTAAAGGCAGTTGGTCCGCCGCAAAGTGCCGAAGACCGTCACATGTTTTGTTTGCGTAGCGAGACTGTCCACTGGTTAGAGCCTGCGTGCTGCGGCTTCGTGCCAGCTGTGCGTGAAAACTTCTACATCCTGTGCGGGCCGGTGGCAGGGGCTCAGGCGTACGGAAATGAGGGGAAGTGCGCAACCCTGGTGTGTGACTTTCCCATGCGGCCCGTACAGGGGTGCCGTTGGTCCCAGCCAGGATGAGCCGAGATCTACCAGAAACTTTGATACTTCGTGCTTTCCGGGCGGGTCCAGGGACCGCGCACGAGCGTCCCTGTGTAAGTTGTTTTGCCCAGCCTCTGGTGCGGCCAAGTGCCGCCGAGCGAGTGTTTCCGCCGGTCCAGCTGTGCCGGAGGTGGCGCGTTTGGCCCGTCCCGCGGGTGCGCTCTGTCGCCGCGCGCAGCCGGCGCCCGCCAGAAATAGAGCGGCCGCCGCCGACACGGCGGCGTACCCTGTCATGATCGGCGCAATAAGGTCCCATTGCCTGACATGTTAAACAGCACGGACCCATTCCGCGCTCCGGTAATTAAACGGTGTGGCGTTTAATAAGCGGGAGTCTGGCCGCCGGCTTGCCGCGACCTGGCTCCGAAGGCGGCGAGGCTCTCGAGCGGGACACTTTGTCACCAGCCACGCTCGCCGCCGACGCCAATGCGCGCGACACGTGCATGGCGTGGGCGGCACCGGCGCGCTGACACGCATCGCCTGTGGGTGGCACCCGACAGGCTGAGTTGCGGACCTCTGGGCGGCTTCGAGTGGACTTCGGTGGCCAGAATGGGAATCTCATAATTCTACACGGGAGGAAGTGAGGGAGGGTGCCATTTGCGATTCCCCAAAGCATGCACGTTGGCGCGGCCCCTTGATAACCGCGAAGAATATTTAGTTTTTTGTGCTAGATGTCGAGAGAATTCATGCATGCACTGGGACGATTTCCTTCTAACAAGATACCAGGTTCCACCCATCCCTGCTGTGATGTGGGGAAACAACACTTCGTGCTTGCAGTTGGCAAGCACGAAGTATTTTATATTCAAGTAATACCAGGCTCCACCCCTACCCGTCAGATGTGGCACGGGCCTCCTCTCGCGTTGAGAGTGTCTCACCGAAGCCCGCAACTCGAACAACTGCTCGTGCAGTGCCTGCGACGAGACTGACCGCAGCTGGCTGGGCAGCGACGATACGCCCCCGCTGTGTGCAGTTCGAGCCGTCCTTCGCTCTCGCGCACATGTCGCTTCGGTGCACCAGCGTCCTCCGCCGCCTGTGACCGCGCGTCTGGTAACCTGTCGGCTGCCGTGAACCTCGAGCCGTCCGCTCCGCCCCTCTGCCTGGCCGACCCGCGGCAGCGACGGCGGCCCCGTCGAGAACGACGCTCCCGCCCGGGGCCCGCCCGAGTCTGGGGCGGCGGCTCGTGGTCAGCTGGTAACAGGCGGCGCGCCCGCCGGCCCACGCCGGAGCCGTCGCCAGGCTTCCGCACCGACTCGTCTGGCAAATGCGGCCGGCACATAAGGCGGTTATGGCGGCGCGGCATTAGGACGATGTCTGCGGCTTGCCTGCCGGCGGTCGGCGAATGGCCTCGTTCGGCCGGAGCCGGCGCCGGCGGCCGCCGCTCGCGGCCGCCGTGGCCGGCCGAAGCCGCCGCCGCAGATGCTGTAATAAGGCTGCTTTGTGTTCAAACTGGCGGTCGAGTGGCCGCCGTGGAAACGATTGCCTCCTGGAGGGACACGGCCGCGGGGGTGTGACCAGCCTGGCTGATGCGCCGCCGGGCAGCGGCGCGACGGAGCGGCGCCTCAGCAGGCTTATCGCCGTCGATGCAGCCGTGTCGGCTCTGTTGGTGAACCGATCACCACGCAGAGCCTAGTCATGTTATATGTATATATATATATATATATATATATATATATATATGAAAAGACAATTAAGATGACCTCCTTACCAAGAACATATACGTGATATTCGCTACGCAAGTTGTATTTTTTTAGTTTTCGGTCATGAGCGCTGCTCACAGAGTCAAAAATTCAAATAAGTGTGCAACATTGCACACCATTTAATGGCATTAGATAATTATTTCAATAAGGAGGCAACCCTATGTGTGTCAGTGCCAAGGCTGAAAGCCTCTGCTGTCGAGAATCGCATAAGAGCTGTGCATCTCCGTTGAGAGCCAGTTAGAAATGTCGGCTTCAAGACGTTCATGCAGCATGAACAGCGATGGAAGGCATCGGGTCGCAGCCCCAGGCTCATAGCGAAGAGGGCATTCGAACATGAAAGAAAATTAATGTATTCCCTTGGTAAACATTGTGAGAATGTATCCTTGTAAACATATATAATTAACATAGGCCCATATAAAAAACATGAGTAATTATTTGCATTGTAAACTCTGTGAGCCAAAACTTGCGACTAAAAATTGGTCAAAAATTCAACTTAGTAAACGAATATGACGCATATTATCATTGCAAGGAGATAATCTTAATTTTTCTTCATACTTGCCATGCCTTACATTGCACAAACGCAGTACTATCTTTGATATATAATCACTGCTGGTCAAAATTGGTTATGAAGATAACAGAAGTTTCCGCGTTGACTTTGCCGTGAAGGGTGTCTACTATTGCGAGAAAACATAAACATGCGTCGCATGGTTGCCAACACCACCCCAAAGCACACCAGGAGTCCCCACACAGCTGCACCACGTTTCGAACGTTCCAGTTTAAATATCTGTTGGTTTTTCTTGGCGGGGCCTCCTCCGCCCCTGCTTGTGTTTTCCGACGCGCTGTTTACATAGGAGAGCAAAGAAACCAGCATTCCGTGCTGGCACGCGGATCATAACAGCTCGGAGGTTCATCCATCATCATATGCAATCACATTGTATCCACGAACACTTCACCAAACTGAAAGTATGCCGCTGCCGTCAGCTGTGAGCCGGCCAACTGCTGCAGCCTGGCTGCTGGTCCTGCTGGAACGCGCGCATGTCAGCCGGGAGCTGGCCAACCGCTGCATTTTGGCTGCTGGTCCTGCTGTAACGCGCGTATGTCAGCCGGGAGCCGGCCAACTACTGCAGTTTGGCTGCTGGCCCTGCTGGAATGCACGCATGTCAGCCGGGAGCTGGCCAACTGCTGCATTTTGGCTGTTGATCCTGCTGTGTCGCGCGCATGTTAGCCGGGAGCCGGCCAACCGCTGCCGCTTGGCTGCTGGTCCTGCTGAAACGCGCCATGTCAGCCGGGAGCTGGCCAACTGCTGCAGCTTGACTGCCGGTCCTGCTGAACGCGCGCATGTCGGCCGGGAGTTGGCCAACTGCCGCAGCTTGGCTGCTGATCCCGCTGGAGCGCGCCATGTCAGCCGGGAGCCGGCCAACTGCTGCATTTTGGCTGCTGATCCTGCTGTAACGCGCGCATGTCGGCCGGGGGCCGGCCAACTGCTGCAGCTTGGCTGCTGGTCCTGCTGGAACGCCCACCTGCTCCAGCAGCACCGTGTACGTACAGCGCGGGGGCCTTCCGTGGGGTCAGAGTACCGCAGTCTGAAGTGACCAGGATGATCCAATATCACACCACGTCCTTCCTCTTTCTTTCATATTCTTGGACGGTCTTTGCATCGAAAGACCTCTATTTAGCCACACCAAGAAAGAGATGGCTGTCTGCTTTGTCACTGCAAAGATCCCTGCAGGCTCTAAGTCCTAGTTCAAAAACATCAGTTTGGCTTGCACCCTTTTGGTCCCAGTGATTCTTGCTTAACATTTGCCTGATTACCCGCGCACTTCTAGCGACATGGTATGTAACATTTGGGCCTGGACGGAGCATTTGCTGCATTACCCAGTTTTCTACCAGGGTCGCAATTATGGTCACTGCATGAACGGCTAATGAGTTTTCTTGTGTCAATCGACACGCTTTTGGAATGCTTAAAAGGCTCAATAAACCGGAGACTTGAGCGCCATGAACCAGTTTTCCTTTCAAATGTAGCATCGTTCTTAACTTAGTTGTCCTTAGCCACCATTATATTGCAATGATCAGAACAAGACGTGCTAACGTTGACTGACTGACGACATGGTCTTTGGAATCTTGGCGTAATACCTAAATGTAATGTCAGCTGACATGGAATCATGCTTTTTCAAACGATAACAAAGTAATGCTTTATCTGGGAGCCGTAGATTAGAAGTTGTCCGTTGTCTGATGTGTGAAGATAATTCAACGTAAGCCTTTGACTTCTGATTGGAATATGGTATCATCCCGCGGAATTGGCTGACACTGTTTGTTTTTGAAGAAACCGTGATTGCGTACCTTTAACTCGTGATTTCCCCCTGAAAAAATGACGTCCATCCAAACTCGTTTCGCTCTCCACTTCGTGGGGGAGGGCGAAATCTCTACATCTAACAGATGATGCCGTTTCCTCCACGTGTGACTTGCAATGGTTCAACTCCAAGAACGTTACCTCAATTTAGGATAGTTGAAACGTTTTCTAAGCATGCGGTCAACTAGATTTTCTTAATGGGTTTTTGTCCAGTCTGAAATGAGCTTTAAAAGGCACAAATGGATTGTTTTTTTGGCGGGTCACCTTTTATTGAATATGCGCTAAGCAGGTCAATTTTGCATGCATTACCACGCCGAAGTCACGTGATTCGGTCACGTGATAAAGAGCATACCGACTGATAAATTACAGGCGCCCAATGACAGGTGCTTTCAGGATCTTCAGGAAGCAAGAAACAAGTGAAATCCCCTTGATACGTGCTAGTGATCAAAGTCGACCTTTCGTGAGGCTGCTGCAAATAATATGGCTTGTTAGGTAGATGAAGACCCAACGCAACATGCAGCCATATTCCCAAATCTCAGTATGCACAAAATATAGCAGTTTCTTAACTCAAAGGCTGCATATTGGTCAGTCACGATTTTGATCAAGTTGGGACGCTCTCCCGATCATCCCACCCGGATTAAATATGCTCGCTTTAGCCTTACTAATGCGACCCGAACTATAATTGTTGAAGCATTGTCACATTACACATGGTTTTGAAAAGAAGCGCACATTACAGATAAGGAAAGGTGAGAATCGCCCATGAATGCATTATGACGCCGTGAAGAAGAGGCTATCCTTGGACTTCACATCTGAGGCTCACATCACATCACATCACATCACATCACATCTTGCACAGCGCGATAGGATGCTGTAGTCCAGCTTCTATGCCCCCGTGCAGAGTTGAGAGTGAGTTGCCGGTCCAAATGGACGCTGCTGCTTGTGGTTAAGACGGCCCGTGCACTTTTAGCGACATGGTATGCAACATTTGGGCTTAGACGGAGCAATGACCTTTGTTTGGTGATTGACTTTTACAGCAGATGTGACCTGGCTTCTGACACCGCAGATACGCTGTCTATTGTAGACTGGGCATATAATTATTCTAGTCCAAAACATAGCGCAGGCAGATACTGCTTTCAGTATTCTCTGGACTCAATGCCGGTTGATAATAGGTACATGCTTCTGTACAAGAGCGTGCCTAATACAGCCCTGACGCAAAGAAACCGACCCAATGGCAATCCAGTCCAAACCTCAATCTCCAATTCTCGGACTCTCGCCTGTACTCCGCCGACGCCGCCGGGGGGAGCCAAGGAAGAGGCGAGAGCTGAGCCAGAGGCCTGCTGGAGGTGACCCTCCAGGCTGGAGCCGGGGCCGACACGGCTCAGAGGTGAGCGGCGGCCAAACACTGCACCCGCCAGCCCAAGAG